CAAACCAACATAAAACTCACACACCCTTATTACAACTCATCTCCTCAAGAACCTCAAATTTACATCCACAAATCCAAGCTTAAAGTTGGCTAGAAATTAATGGAGAAGAGTTTGAGAGCTTACCCTTGAAGAACTATCTCTCTCCCTTGAAAACCTTGAACTCTTCTAAGATTTGTTATTGGCTTGGAACTAGAAAGTATAAGGAAATTTAAGAGGAATATTTCTACATTTCAAACTTTACTAAAACATAAAAAAAGGATTTAGAGTTATACCCTTTGAAAAAAATGCTTGTCTAGACTCCTCCTAGACCCTTTGATCTCCTTCTTCTTCTTCTATGGTTTGTAGTGGCTCAAGATTGAGAGAGTAGGAGAAAATATTTGAGGGGAAAATGGAGGAGTGTGGCCGGTTTGGGTGTGGGGGAAAATGAGAGGAGATGTGCAAAATGGCTAACCTAATGCTTGCACTAATGGTCTCACCTTTATAGACATTACTTGATCTCATCTTAGTTCTCATTTAAGTCTACCAAACTAGCTTAATTAGCTAGATTTTTGGATTAATCCCCCCCTTTATTGTGGCTGGCCGGGGGGGTGTTTCAAGAGGGGATGATGTAGCATTTCATGTCCAATAGTTGATTTGACTCAATCCCATCATGAAGTCCATGTAGCACACTTCACTAGCCAAATTTTTGGCCATAATCCCTTAAGTTTGGCCGGCCAAGTGAAGGAAGGAAAGAGAAAAATGAAACCTAACCCTTGTACCTTTGTCTACTTTCTAAATTTACTCATTAAACTGTCCAAAATTATACTGACAGCTATTTTCTCCTGTATGCGGGTACTGGATGCTAGTTTGTATTGTGCTTGGAAATTCTTAAAATTAATGTTCTCAAGCTGTATCTGTACTAGAAATTCTTCCGTTTTAAAGTACGGTAAGAATTTATCGATCGAATTTACTTGATCGAAAAATTGTGAACTTAACGTGAAATCTGCTACAGAATTTAGGAATGCAGATGTTAATTCCTTAAATCCTTCAATCACAAAATGTACATAGTATAATGATTTTCCAGGAAAATCCTTGACTTGAATACATGAATTATATTATTAAAATTATGGGATTTTTCTTGGTCACTACAGTTTAGCCCCTCGTAAAGCTTGAAATTATCATGACTTAATTAACAGCAAGAAATAAAAACAATTTATCCTAAATTTAAACAACACATTGCGTTCCCTCAAGAAAAGCAGACACAAGCGATTATGCGATGTTATGTTTTCTGTTGCTTAAGTTTTTTGCCCTTATTAGTTATCGCCACACACACACAGATATATATATATATATATATACACACACACACGCGCTAAGAATATTTAGGTTCTTAAAATATTAGCATTAGGACGATTTCGTGCTTAGTTTGTGTTTTAAGATTTTTAAGATTTAAGATGAGCTATCCCCGAGTGATCATCATCATATTCTACTTATATAGTCTATATCCCAAAAATTGACGAGGGATATTTGAAACTTGACAGAAGTATCTATGCATACATGATTTTCAGCAAATTACAAATTCTAATTTTTAAGGGTTTTCAAGGCTCATAAAGAGAACATGTGTGCTTAAGTGAATACATTTATTAAATTTCAAAATTTATAATAGCATTTAGACATAGTACATTCAAATTCATATTTAAATTTGTGATTTTTTTAAACCTTTACTGCTAATCTACTTCATTTATTTATGTAGATTGGGCAAGGTTGCCAAAGCATTTATTGGACTTAGTCTTAGAGAAATTGGAGTTATCGTTAGATTATTTGCAATTTGGTGCTGTTTGTCTTCAATGGCATTCCATATTGAAGGATAGTCAAATTAAACGGAGTAAAACATTGCAATATCATCATATTCCAATGCTTCTAATTCCCAGCGAAGAACAAACATGGAGCATATACAATACACTGGACAACAAATTCTTCGACACCAAACTTTTTGTACCATATAACAAGCGCTTTTCTGGCTCTTCACAAGGATGGTTGGTGGCTGTAAATAAGGATTGGACGGTAACGCTTTACAAACCTTATTCTATGGTTAAAGGAGGAAACAATATAGATACTAATATTCTTCTTCCATGCCTATTTCCTCCTGATTTAGAAGACTTTTTTGATCCAGATGGTATAATAGATTATGCTGAAGTCTATGATTATCATATTGAGAAAGCTTTACTTACAGTTGATCCGCTAACAAATCCAAATGAATGCATGATTGTGGTGATTTTTGGTGAAATGCAGGAGTTAGCTATTTTTAGAATCGCCAAAGATACAACATGGACTAAAATTAATGCTTATGATCATGACAACAAGCAAATTATGTTAGAGATAGAAGATATCTGTCACTATAATAATCAAATTTATGCTGTAGATGTTCATGGTGTACTTAGATCTTTTGATGTTACAAACCCATGCAATCCCACTGTAAATTTGGTTGCACCTAGGATTCAACCAAGAGCATCTGATCGCTACTTTGTCAAGAGATATCTTGTGGAGTCCTATGAAGGAAAGCTTTTACAGGTCGAAAGGCATTTAAGTTGGCGTAACGAAGACGATGGTCGTGAGACAAAGATGTTTAGAGTTTTCAGATTAGATTTTGATAGAGCAAAATGGATTAAGATAAAAAGCCTTGGTGATGTATATATCTTTGTTTTTGGGTGATAATTCTTCAATATCTGTCTTGGCTTCTAATTTTATCGGTTGCGAACCTGATAGTATATATTTTACTCACGACATAGATGATACCGATGTACTGGGACAAAATGCCATGATTTGTGATGTGGGTAATTACCATGACAAGAGCAGGACCTTTAAATTACACTACAATATAGATTCAAAAGTTCTTATGAAAATGAATAGACGACCTCCAATTTGGGTTGTGCCCACACTTAATACATATTAGGAATCTATTTGTTATTCTGGTTCCCATTATTTATATTATCAACCAATTTGAAAATTTTGATTCCCGTTGTTATTACTATTCTATTTGTAATTATGGTTCTCATTATTACAACTGTTATTACTATTGTTCAGTACAATTATACTTTTTTAAACGAATAATATATTCCAAAGCATGAAAGACATTATTTGTATTCCGGTTCCCATTATTACGTATTATTAATCTATTGTTCAGATTAATAATACTATTGTTCAGTATTATTAATCTATTTGTAATTCCAGCTGCTTTTGGAAGAAAATGTTCTGCTAACAGAAAAGATTTCACCGTATAGATTTTTAAAGATGAGTGGTATTTGCTAAATCAAGCCACGGTGACAAATAGAAGAGGGAGTCTTTTTATTCTATTAGTGGTTATAATTTTGTTTAATTAGTGGAAGAATGTCTAGGCGTGATCTTGTGGATGTAGGTTTTTTAACTGAATCACGCTAAAATTTTCCTGTACATTATTTGTTTACTGCTTTCGTATGCTATTAGGTTAATTAATCGTTTCTTATTTCAGAAAATTTAATTAACTAATAAATAGTGAGCGTAAATCATATCTTTCACAATTAAAAAAAAAAAAAAAAACCATTACATGCGACTCAAGAATTTCATTTTAAGAGTGCTCAACATATATAGCGCAAAAATGTTATTTACTTGAAATTCTTTGGCTATAAATTGATTACTGCGTATAAACAATTGAAGCAATTGTAGGAAGTAACTCATAGAAAATCAAATGCTTGAGAATGTGGGATGCCTGCATGATTACATAAAAATGCTTGAGCAATCAAATATATAACCAAATGTTTGCATTATTATCCAAGTCCCAATCTAATGTTTTTATTTAAAAAGAAAAACTCGTACATAATCATAAACTTTTAATTTTAAAAAGTATATAAATCCCCAAACTAAAAAATCACCATTACTTCCACATTTTTAAATCAAATTAACCAAAAACCAACAATCTAAGACCAAACTAACGTTGAAACATAACAAAATTGCTAAGGCACAGTCAAAAAAGTTTTTTTTTTCAGGCGTAATCTATTTATAGAGATGCAATAATGGGCCAGGGCCCGTGGGCCAGCCCAGGCCCATCTTGATACAGTGACAGGCCTGCCTGGCATGGCCCGTCACTGTTCAAGGCACGGCCCAGCCCATAAATATTTGTGGGCTGGACTGAGCAAACATATATCTGCCCATGGGCCGGCCCGGCACGGCCCATGAAATATTATGGGCCATGCCGAGCTTGGGCTGAACCGTCTAGGCCCATGATGGGCTGGCCCAGCCCAGCCCGTCTAGGCCCATAATGGCCTAGCCCAACTTGGCTTATCTAGGCCCATAATATCTTCATGTTTTTTTCTTTTTTTTAGTAATTTTGTAGACATTTTATGTATAATTATCTTGATTGTACACTTTTTTTCTTACCAATGTTTTGTCCCACTGAGTTTTTCTTAGAAAGGTTTTTATTTGATGAGGCAATCGTAAATAAAATATCCCTTTTCATATTTCCATTGACTATTCAAACTTCTATATTTGTTAACTTGTTTAAAAATTTAAAAATTAAAAATTAAAAATTGCATACTTAGATAGGCTGGCCCATCTAAACCCATGATGGGCCAAGATGGGCCTTGAATAGGTCAGTCCATTCAAAGCCAATGGCATGGTCCATCCTGGCCCACGTCATGGCCCAACCTGGCCCACATAAAATTGGCCCGTAGTGTGGGCTAGGCCGAGGTAATTCTTATACGGGACGGCTTGGCCCACTGTCCGCATGTCCCTAAGGAGAACGGGTCAGATCGGGCTGGGTCGGGTCGGATCGGGCTGTGTCAGGCCGGGCTGGGCCGTCCCGTTCTTACATATCTATCTATTTGGTCTTCTTTAATCTTAGAGGTTCAAGTGGTCAACTTGATGGGTTGAGTTTGTACATATCCTCTAAATATTTAGTGACGGAGCCAGAAAAATTTTCATGGAGGCGGAATTAAAGCTGAAGTTTTGAACTTAAACTATTAGTGCAACTATTTTTTCTCTTTAATTATCCTCTGCTATATAATTGCATTTTTTTTTAATGAATCACGAAGTTTAATTCACTTTTTAAAGCGTAATATCTACAAAATTATGAATTTATGTAGTAGTAGAGTTGATTTTTTTATTTGGAATTTTAAATTTCAATTACGAGTATGTTTAAAAGTCAAATTTTAAGGTATGATTTAAAGCATTTTGAAGAAATTATAAAATGTGAGTAAGCTTTAAAAGTTAAAATTTGAACGATAATAGCAACATTTTAGAAAAAATTTGTGTAAAAAATACAATTAAAAAATTTTCAGGGTGGACATATTTATGAAACTAAATGAAGTAAATAACATATTTTAAAATCATTTAAAGTAAATAGCAGTTTATGTAGTAAATGAATTATGTATCACGTAAATGGCTTATTTATGACTAGTTAAAACATTTTTTTCCGCATAAGTTTTCTTTTTATGATTGGCAAAAAGATTATTTTTCACGTAAATAAAGATTTTTTACGAATCATTTAGATGATAAATAATTCATTTATTATGTAAATTACTATTTATTTCAAATGGTTTAAAATCTACTATTTACTCCTTTTAATTTTAAAAATATACTATTAATTACAATTTCCTAATTATAAGAGTATTTTTTTGGGCCAAATTTCAAAGGAGCCCTTGGGCCGAAGGGCAGCTGCCCTCCCTGGGCCTAAGGTAGGTCCACCCCTGCAAACATTCAAGAACCCTTTCCTCCTTCGCAGGTTTTACTCTAAAAATACATGCAAATTGAAGTGGAGCTTTTATTTAAGAGGGAGTGGTAAAGTGCAAATTAAAATTATTAGGGGAGAAAGAGAAAAATAGATTAAGACTTGAGATGAATTAAAATTAATAGGCCAATAGTTTATATAAGTTAATAAATATGCCAAATTACTGTTTTTGTCAATAACTTATATGGTTATGAACCATAACTTGACAAGTTATTGTCAATTTTTATCCATAATTTGTCTGACTATGAACCATAACTTGACAAGTTTATCCATAACTTATCTGGTTATGAACCATAACTTGACAAGTTATGGCCTATTAATTTCTATAACTAAAAGTTAGCCTATATACTTTCTTAAGCTTTTCATATTGGCCTATTTTTTTCTATTTCCGTAATTATTAGTTGTTTTTTTTTTTTTTTTTGTTCTGAAACTCCAATCCTTGTTCCCTCAAAAAAAGAAAAAAAAAACCCCAATCCTTGCCCTTATTGAAAAATTTGGGGACAAATTTTATAAATTTCTCCTTAAACTTTGTTACTTGTGTCAACATAGCTCATGAACGAGGCATTTATTTTCCTAGAAAAATCAGAGAAGTGCTTTCACACGCTAAAACTGCCAAAAGTTGGTAATATTGCAGTAAGAGACACGTTCAGTGGACTTATAAATTAGTGCCTGATCAATGAATGAGCATGGAAATTTTGTATTCTATGTTTGAATTATTTGGACCAGGTTTTTTCCCCTTGACAAGTAAAGCCCAGACTTTTTGAAGTCTTCGAAATACGTCTCAATTTCTTGTCCATCAACTACATAAATTTTTGGAGACATAAAGGACTGTATACTTGTTACACTTAATGCACAAAAAAAAAAAAAAAAAAAAAAAAAAAAGAAAAAAAAACAAAAAAACAACTGTAAAAATTAAAAATTTTCTTCCCAACTAATGCACAAAAAAAAAAAAAAAAAAAAAAAAAAAAAAAGGAAATAAAACTCAAAAACCAACTGTATAAATTATAAATTTCCTTCCGATACTGAAGAGTAGTTGTTACTCTTAAACCCTGACCAGTTTCCTTCAAACGATGAGTGGAATGTGCTCTCAAATTGTGGTGTTTTTAGTGCTTTTGCTTTGCACTATCTGCACCTATGGATCCAACAGCACTTGGTAAACAGAAAACAAAATCAGGTGCCCTGCTCAACATTAAACGCGATCTTCAATTCTGGGATGTACCCGATCTTCTTTCTTCTTGGGGGAATGAAGAGGGAGAAACAGACTGCTGCAAGTGGCTCGGGGTCGGGTGTGCCAACGATTCTGGTCACGTCATCAGCCTTGATCTTTCTTCTATCTCAACTTTGGGCATCAATGATTACATGTTGAACTGGATTGTGGGAGGTAAGATCAACCCTTCGTTGTTTGAGTTGCGATATCTGAATTATCTGGATCTTAGTTTCATTCAATTCATGGGAAGTCGCATCCCAAGTTCCATTGGTACTCTTGGCCATTTAAGATATCTCAATCTCTCCTACACTTTTATGGGTGGAGAAATTCCTCCTCAACTTGCGAATCTTTCCAATTTGCAGGTTCTTGATCTTGGCTATAATCATTACACAATTAATAGCCTTAAGTGGCTTTCTCATCTTTCTTCTTTAATAGACCTTCGCCTGAATGGTATAAATTTGAGCAAAGCCTATGACTGGGTGCAGATTGTTAACCAACTCCCTGGCCTGACAACCTTGGAGTTAGGTTATTGCAATCTTCGCGACGTCGTTATTCCTCCATCTTTTTCCTCAGTCAACTCTTCAGCTTCTTCTCTTTCCATCCTCAATCTTTCCAACAACAACCTTTCGGTTTCTGTATTCTCATGGTTGTTTAACTTCAGTAATAGTCTTGTTCATCTCGACCTCTCGGTAAACCAGTTAGAAGGTTCTGTTCCAGAATCTTTCGGAAAGATTACTGCCCTGAAACTCCTCGATCTCAGCCGCAATGATAAGTTAAGTGGCTCCATCCCAGAAGCTTTTAGCAAGATGACTGCCCTGACATACCTCGATCTAAGTCGTGACAAGTTTAAAGGCTCCATTCCTGAAATTTTTTTCAACATAAGCTCCCTTGAATACCTTGATCTTGGTGATAACATGCTTGAAGGCGAACTTCCAAAATCCATTTGGAACCTGAGTATGCTACGTACACTAAGAATAGCTTCAAATAATCTAAGTGGAAATCTCCCTCAAACTAGTTTCCAGAAATTGAAGCAACTAGAAAGATTGGATATTTCGAGAAACTCTTTGGGAGGCGTGATTTCTGAAGCTAGTTTTTCAGAGCTTTCTGAGTTGCATTATTTGGATTTGTCTTTTAACTCGTTAGCTTTGAACATCCATTCTGAATGGATTCCCCCGTTCCGTCTGCGTAACATATTCCTTGGCTCTTGCAAGTTAGGCCCCCAATTCCCAAAATGGCTTCGAACGCAAAAGAACTATTCCTTTCTTGATATTTCCAATTCTGGAATTTCAGATTCTATTCCCAATTGGTTTTGGAACCTTTCTAATGGATTTCAAAGCATGAATCTTTCAAACAACCAACTAAATGGAGAAATTGGTAATATTTCGCTAGACTTGCATGAAGAATTGTTCAATGATAACTTGGACATTGATTTGAGTACAAATCAGTTGGAAGGTGTGGTACCATCTTTTCTATTCAAAGTGGCTGCAGTAGATCTTTCCCGGAATAGATTTTCAAAGCTAAATGTCCCATGTAACATCAACGGACATACGGCCTTGAAATTTCTCGATATTTCGTATAATGAGTTGTCAGGGGAACTTCCCGATTGTTGGTCACGTCTCAAAGAATTAAGACTTCTTATTTTGGCAAAGAATAAATTAGCAGGAAAAATTCCTCCCTCTATTGGCTCCTTAACTGAAATCGAGGCATTGCGATTAACTGGCAACAACTTCATCGGGGAATTACCTGCAACATTGAAGAACTGCACACAATTTTCAGTTATTGATTTTGGAGGAAATAAGCTATCGGGGCCAATTCCGACATGGATAGGGGAAAATTTGCATGGTCTTATTATTCTTAGCATGAGATCTAATTACTTTAGTGGGAGCATACCTTCACATCTATGTCATTTGACAAATCTTCAACTGCTGGACCTGTCTCTAAATGATATCTCTGGAAGCATACCGAAATGTGTCAGCAATTTTACTGCAATGAGAAAAGGTTGGGAAGATGATAGAACAACCATTACTCATTTGTACGCAACTCAAAAAGTAGTAGTGACGGGGCATACTTTGGCCAAGAGTATGAAGACGATGTACAATTGCAATGGAAAGGAAACCTTATGGAGTTCAAGAGTATTCTTAGGCTTGTAAAAAGCATTGATTTGTCAAGCAATAGATTGACGGGGGAAATTCCAACAGAAATCGTTAAACTTGATGGATTGGTTTCTTTGAACTTATCAAGAAACAATTTGCATGGACAAATCCCCCATGAGATTGGTCAGTTAACATCTTTAGATGTTCTTGATTTATCAAGGAACAACCTTCTTGGTCAAATTCCTCGCAGCCTCACTCAGATTGATCGTCTAAGTACATTAGACTTGTCGAACAACAATTTGTCTGGAAAATTCCGACCAGCACTCAACTTCAGAGCTTCCCTAGTACTGCATTCATGGGAAATCCTGAATTGTGCGGACCTCCACTCTCAATAAAGTGTCCAAGTGATGATCAAGAACATCATGTTTTTCGAGGTACCACTCAAGAAGCTGATGAGCTTTTAACCCGAGGATTTTACATTAGCATGGCGATTGGGTTTGTAGTAGCATTTTGGGGAGTTTGTGGCACATTAATCTTCAACAGGTCGTTCAGATACGCATATTTCAATCTCTTGAATGATGTCGGAGACTTTTTTTGGGCAATGACAGCAATATACAAGGCAAAACTACTAAGGATGATCAAGAGCTAGACGGTAAGTATAATCTTCCCCCTCTCTCAAATGTTTGTACTAATGATTAATGCTATACATGTTCATACATAATTTTCCACCCTATTAAAGTAATGGCACTGATTTCGTTGATCGTTTTCATGGTAGGAGCTACATGTTTTGCATTTCAGAAGGCGCCATCGCCTTCCATCCAAGAGAAGAGTAGACCTCATATTCTGTTGAAGATAGAGTGTGACTATGCTGATTGTGCACTTGATCTGTTTTTCTAACGCCCGAAATTTTAGCGTGATTAGTTAATTTAATCAAGCGATTTGTGTGTTAATCAAAGTTTATTAGGATGCCAATTACTAAACTTTTGGTAATTATATTTTGCATTCCAGTGTATTAAATATTAATTTCAAGTTATTTTGATCATATCTTTAAGTTTTGGTAATTTTCATTTTCTGCGTAAAATTTTGTGAAATTATGATTTTGCCCCAAATTGTTAAAATTGCAAAATAGCTTTCTACTTTTTTCCTTCTGCTTCACGTGATTCTATCAGCTTCTCTTAAGTTGATCAGTTGCTAAGTTTTGTTATTCCCAAGGCACCGAACCATTAGTTGACTATCTTCATGGCTATATCTATACATCTGTATAAGTTTCAAAAAGTACTGTTCATGAACAATACTTTTTGGTTGGAACGCATAGCGACCCCTTCCGCGCCCTCTGTTTTTTTTTTTTTTCTTTTTGTTTTTGGGCTTTTTTGCAATCTACACTAAAATTAATTAATTTATTCGTTTTAGTTTTTTATCGCTTTTTTTTAATTTGCACCCTAAAAGTAATTTTTATTTCATTTTAGTTCCTTTTATCCTAAAATTTATTTATTTATTTTTATTTTCTTCTTTTAGTCTTTTTTTTTTCATTTTTACACTTAGACTTTATTTTTTGTTTTGTTTTTCCCTAAAACTTATTTATTTCTTTATTTTAGTCATTTTTTATTCTTTTTTTATTCTAATCCTGAAATTTAATTTTTGTCGTTTTGGTTTCTTTTATTCTAAAACCTATTTATTTCTTTGTTTTGGTCCTTTTTTGACTTTGCGATTGATTTGAGGTAAATTATGGATTTTGGGAAATTGTTGTAGCATTAGAAAAAGAATTCCCGTTGCTGAATATACTATTTTTATATTTTTCTTAGTTTTGGAAATGATTTTAAGATATTTTAAAGAAAAGTTTAAAAAAATGGAGAATTTATCTTTAAGAGTGCATGAGTCTGGATCTTTACACTTTATTCTTGATAAATACTATTTTATTAGTGTAATTATTTGACTAAAAAGGCTATGAATTAAGCGTAAATGGTAAAAATTCTGACATGTGCACTTTCAAGAGATATTTGTCAAGATTACCCTTAAAGTTTATACCTAGATAGGCCGACTTGGACACACGGTGCGAAGAGTGCACCTTCCTAATTGGAGGAATCGCCGCGGTATTTATTGGTGATGGCCCAGGAATATTACACGCTACCGTAAATTATAGTAAGGACACTGGCTGCATTGTTGGCATTATTCATATATTTTTATTTCTGCACGTTTATTAAATTTTACATTATTCAATAATTATTTATAGATTTATTTATTTTACAATGTTATTTTGGAAATTAGTTTTGAATAGTTGGATTTTAAAAATGTTTGTTTTCAAAGAAATATCTTAATGAGCATTTCGTTCACGTTTTAGTGTTTTAAAATTATCCCCTCCCAGATTAAGTGGATCGAAATAGATAGAACAATCAGATGAGTTGTCAAGTGATGTTCCGTTAAGATTGCTAAAAGTGGATTTGAGGTATAAATTATTTGAAGTTTTCGCATTTCTGATCTGTTGTATGAGAACTGTTCTATATGGCTTGTCTCAGTACAATATTATTTCCAAAAGATTTTGTTTTCAGGCTATTTTAATATTTTATGAACTTTTTAAGTCTTCATGAGGTGGCATTTTATTATTGTTTTTTACTTGATTTCAGTTTTTCGGACTTGGATTATAGTAAATCCGGGGTTTATTTACTGTTAATTTTAATTAGTCGCATCCCTGTTTTCGGGACGTGACAGTTTTCCTTGAAGCATAATTGTGTGTGTGTGTTTTTTTTTTTTTTTTTTTTTTTTTTTTTGAAGTTGGGACAAGGAGTTTTTGAACTCCACACCTTAAGGTAGAGTCATGTGTAAAATTATTGTTATACTATGTCTACAACTGCGCATATTTATGTAACATATAATCAACTCCTACTTTTATAGGTTATAATAATCATCACATGTTTAAATTTATTCGAGTGTGATGCAATAGATGTTAATTTAGAATAGGGTGTTGTTTCTAAAGATGATGGATTTTCAACTACTTGCTAGCTAGAAATTGAAAAAGTGGAACTCGAAGATCGTTGTTTAGCAGACGAGATCAATAAAAAATTTCACTAATGAGCATAGCTAACATTAATTTCCTTGATTCAGGAACATTGATCATCATTGTAAAAAAATTACCATTGAAAAGAAGAGATGTGATATGGACTCCAGCACTATTTGGTTATGATGCGTTAAAAGTCTTGACTTTTCTAAAACTTTTCATGTTGATGCGCATGCTTCAGAGGGAAGAAGATAGACATCACAGAAAATATATAATTTTTGTTGGTGCTGGACTTCGTCCTCCTATCGTTGTCCTCCACGCGTCCAACATCCCACAATCAGGAGATCATGGCAATATGGAAACTACCCATTACAGAAGTGGAAGGCTCACTCTCACAAATTTAGGAAAGTGGAGATAACTATCTACTAGTGTAGTAGTGGGTTTAGCCCTATAAATATGGCTGAGTTGAGCCATAAAAAAAAAAAAAAAAAAAAAAAAAAAAAAAAAAAAGGGGGTTTTTTTTTTTTTAAAAAAAGGGGGGGTTTAGCAGGGTTTTTTTTTTTTTAAATGAAGGAGGAGGTTTTTCACTAAAAAGGATAAGTGACTTTCTACAAAAATTTCCATTCAATCTCATGTATCACCATTGTACTCTCAATTTCATATAGTGGAAGTATTCTCAACACTGGACATAGTTGTTATTTTAAGAGTGAACCACTATATTTTTTTGGTGTCTTTATTTACTGGCAGTACTTTATTTATTTCCATTCATGTAATTGAGATTATTTTTGTCTCGTTATAAAAAGTTTGGTAGTGAAGATCAAACGGTGAGCAAGGACCCCAATTATTACGTCTAATTATTTTTATTTTTTTATTTGACTGTAGAAACTGGGGTCTATAATTTTCTTTCTAGAAAATGTTTTTTTCTGAGTATTAAAATTATTATGAAAATTCACAAATGTAAGTGTACGCTATCATTAGCAAGTATCTAATAATTTTATTGAGTAAAAATATCGTCCCACGAGAATTGACCGTTATTAATTATTGAAATTGTGTCAACTCTAACTTTATTTGAATTAAACGAAATACGAATGATAATGACAAAAACTAAAACGAAAAATTGAAAATTAATGCAAGAAAAGTAACTAAATAAATGTGAATTATCAAGAAAGGAAAATCAATAAGCTAACACTCTAGGGTTTCTGGTTTCACCAATTTAAATTCTAAAATTCAATTAATCAATGTATATTCACATGTCTGAATTTCTCTAAATTAATTATTAATCTTTCTCTAATATTAACAATAATATTCCAAAAAGCAAATTCTACATCACTGTTAAAATTCTAAACCTGCCAAAATTCATAAGATCAAGAAATTTATGACACTACACAAGCTTCATAGATATCTCTATCCTATGACAATCTCATCGTATATCAATCAAGAGCATATTCATTTATCACTTCTTGTCTCAAGTCAAATATCTAATTATGTAAAAGTTGGCCAGACAATCACAAGTATTAAACTCAAATTGAAACACCTAACATATTCTGAAATAAACATCAATTACTTAACGATAAGAATTTGAACATTTATAATCCGGCTATATCGTAGTCCTAAAAAAGAAATAACATCCTAAAAATTATCTTAACAATAATACCAACTCAGTCATTTTCATGTATTATTATAATATTCAAATCACTGTCGTTTTCAAAACGCTCACTCTGAAATTCTCGTAGTACTTTTAATGCAAATTATCATAATACTTAGACTTAGTAATCTTGGGAAATTGTTTAACAATAAAAACTTGGTCGTTTTCGAGATTTATCATAATATTGAAAACAGAGTCAAAACATGGCAGTCATAATATACCATCATTTGGACTACCTAGTAAGAAACATCTAGTTAAATGGACTTTATGGTATTCATATAAAAATAAAAAATAAAGAACTCCTAAAAGTTTGACACAAAAAGTCGATTCTGATAATATTAAAATGGACAAAATAACATATATAACAACGACAAGAACATAAAAACAGCCACAAATTTCCTTTCAAAAAAAAAACAGCAATAATTTTTAAAAACGACGGTGGGTAGCCGAGAAAGGGAGAAAACAAAATACGATTAAAAATATTTAAAACACGACAATAAAACATAAAAAAACACCAAAAGAAAAGGATGAAAACAGAAACATTTAGGAAAACAAAAAACAAAAAAAGAAAAATACACAAAATCGGCAGCAATTTTTCAAACAACAATAACTATGAAAAACCACAATAAAAACACAAAAAATGACACATTGCATCAGTTTTGCAAATAGTTGGTTGGGGGAGAGGTGGAATTGCCCAAATTAATTCGGAGGGTAAGTTGTCAAAGCTTTAAAGTATAGGGACAAATGTGTAAAACATC